AGGCTCAGGAGGGTCAGGGGTTAGAGCACCCGGCGGCCTCGGGGCGCGCCACAGGAAGCCGGCCTGAGACGGAGGGGCCAGGTGGAAAGCCGGGAAGCGGATTCGGTGCCTCCTTCCTTCCCTCCCGGAGCTGGCCCCGGAGACCTGCTGCACCTTTCCCCTTCCTGCCTCCGTCTCAGGCCGGCTTCCTGTGGTGCCCCTCGTGGCCGCCGGGTGCTCTAACCCCTGACCCTCCTGAGCCTCCGGGCCTCCAGCCTGCAGGGCTTGGCCAGCTCTCAGGGCCCTGCCTGTGCCCGCCCAGTCCTTCAGCCCAGCCTCTGCCCTCCACATCCCACAGAAGCCTTGGTCCCCGCCCAAGAGAACAGTCTTCCTCGCCTTGACCTTGGCTCCCCACTGGCAGCCTTTTGAAACCCCCTATGGCTCTTGCAGGGGCCTGTCCTCAGCTCCCGCCACTGTCCCGGGAGCCCCGCCCTTGCATGGCCCTCTGACCCACCACAGGGTGCCCCGTGGGCGCCCCTCTGGCCTCCACTAGACCACCAGCGTCTTGAGGGTGGGAGGAAGGCGCCTTCACTCCGTCTTCCCACAGGGCCCTCGGCACACACCGAACTGTGCTCTCACCTGCCCCATGGGAGGGGCAGATGGGGCCGGAGCCCCCTGTGGCCGCCCTTGCCCAGCCCCTGCCTGTCTCAGGCATCTGGGGGTGGGGACAGGAAACAGAGGGTCCAGAGGTCATCGGGGAAAGAGTGAGGCCCGGGACAGCCCAGCTGGACGCCCCACTGGGTGGGGTTGAGGACTTTGGTCCAAATGGAGGGAAAGTAGCTGCCACCGAGGCGGGCATGGTGGGGCGACAGAGACGGGCAGGGTGGGGCGACAGAGACGGGCAGGGTCAGAACCAAGGGGAACACGGCGGGCAGCGCTGTCAGAGGGCAGTCAGCGCTGGGACGGAGGCCGAGGGAGGCGGATCCGTGAAGACTGGCTCCCTTTCCAGGTGGCGGAGTGCGGGCCAGCGTCCCCCGAGCCGGGCCCGCCCTGGGGGGAAGGGGCTTTGGGCCGGGCGGGCTCACGCGTGCAGGACCAGCAGGAAGGTGCAGGAGAAGAGCGCGTGCAGCAGCCCCAGCGTCCACTGCAGCTGGGCCTCCTGCCGGCGGACGTAGTCCCGCAGCTCTGTGCTCACGTGCTCCCAGCTGGTGTTGGCGCCCACCACCGCGGCCTGCTTCTCCTCCTGGGGCGGCGGGGGCACAGGAGCGGACACAGCCCTCCTTGACATCTCTGCCCTGGCACCCCGCTCGTGACCCCCAGCTCTTCCCAGGACTTTCGGGACCCCCCGTGTGGAGGAGACGCAGCGGGCTGGGTGTGGCCCCCTCCTCCCCGTGGTCCTGCTCCCCTGCGCCCATCCGGGCTGACACCCTCTCTGGCCAGGCTGTCCCTCGGGTCTCAGAGGCAGGTCCCTGCCCACCCAGGTTCAGCACAGCCCCCTCTCCCCGTCCCCCAGCACCAGCACATTCCGTCCTCGTGCCCCTCCGTCCTCCCTGCGCCCTGTCACCTGCTCTCCGCAGGCCTGTGCTCTCCTCCCTTCTCCCTTGCTCCCTCCCAGCCCCGGCAACCCCCGCCTCCTACCTTGAGCTCAATAGTGGCTGAGAAGTCGCCGTCCAGGTCGTGAACAGACTGGTTGAGAGAGTCGTAGGTCTGCCCAAAGTTGCCCTCCACGGGGATTCGGCGGCGACACCAGACCTCCGTCACTACCGGGGGTGGCGGGGGCAGGTCAGGGGCCTGCACCCGCCTCTTGCCCCCCAGGGCCTGAGGACCCCCATCTGCCCTGGCTGCCTCTCCACCCCTCTCCATGCTCCGTGAGTCCCGCGTCCTGGGCACAAGGCCTGACTTCCCCTCGTCTCGCTCGTCGGCGTGTAACTGTGTAACCGTGTAAGCCGACTGTGAACACTGATAGCAACAGGCACAGGGAAGCGCAGCTCGGCTCCTGTATTCCTCCCTCACACCTCGGAGCCCCCTCATAGGCTAACGTTAGGCCCATCTTCCAGGCAGAGAGGCAGAAGCAGAGGTCGCCGGGAATGTCCCCCGCGCGGCCCCGTGGCTGCCCCCAGGCTCGCCGGCACCCCCCAGTGTCCCCGAGGACTCGGCTCCCGCGCCCACGTGCCCGCCCTCCCACCGCCCTGCCGACCCTTGGCGATGCTGCAGAAGAACTTGAACTTCATAGGCAGGCAGAGCAGGTCCCGGAACAGCGGGACCCAGATGCGCCGCACGCACTGCTGGTGCTTCCGGTCAAACCAGCGGCGGCAGCTGGCAATGGCCTGGTCCACCACGTCTGAGGAAAGGCACGGGCAGGTGAGGTCCCTGCAGTGGCCTGCCTGGAGCCCCGCCCCCGTCACGCCCATCACGCCCCCCCACGTCCCCCCCACGCCCCTCACAGGAGCAGCGCAGCTTGGTCTTGAGCTCATACATCTTCTGGGTGGACAGTGCGCGCCGCTGGGGAGGAAGGGCTCGCTGGCTCGCCCGCCTGCGGGCCGTGGGGTCGGAGCCCGGCGCATCCTCGGGCACAAACCCCGCGTCACTCTTCACCTGGGCGTCCAGCTCCTCGAAGGACTTGGAGATGTTCTGAGTCCCCGCTCGCAGTGAATTTTTGCTGCCCTGGGGTTGGGGGGTGAGGACAGGGAGGTCGTTGCGGCTGCAGAGGAAGGAGCCTTTCCTGCCCCTTTGGCCAAAATCCGGGCTCTTCCCTCAGGCCCAGGCGGAGCCCAGGCCCTAGACAGCCTCTCACCTCATGCTCCACTGTTCAGTCTTGGGGACAGCCCCCTACCGCCTTTCCCTGTGACCAGTGGCCTCGGCTCTGCCCCCCACCCAGCTCCTCCACTGGCCTCCGTCTCAGATCCCTGCTAGCTACAGAAGCTTCCCCAAGCCCTGGGGCTTCACATGAACCTCCCAGACCACTATGCCATCTCAGGGTCCCCAGTCCCAGTGTCCCCAATGTCACCTGACTCCCCAGCTCCTTGACGCTCCAATTCTCCCACGCCCGCAGCCTCCAGGCCCCCACAGCCCCCCACAGCCCCATTCCGCAATCCCCGGGGCCTCCAGGCTTCCTGAGTGCTCAAGGCCACGGCCCCGGTTTCCTGACATTCTAGTTCAGCTACCCAGAGTGCCGCCTACCCAGGTGTTTGGAAATGGGGGGTGCAGGTCCCATGACCGGGGGCGGGGGCTTTCCCTGCTGTCTAGTGCCCAGGGCACATCCTGCAATGTTTGAGGACAGCCATGCCGGCCCCCCGGGGCAGAGGGGCCCGGCCCTGCCCACACGTGGGGTCCTGACCAGCAGGTCCTTGAACACTGCACGCAGCGGGGCCGTGGAGATGTGCCAGGCCGCCCGGGTGTTGTTGACCTGCAGCTCCACCGTGCAGCCCAGTGACGCGACCACCTCATTGAGATTGTAGCGCAGGTTGGCCACGGGTCCTGGTGGGAAGATGCCCTCGTGGGTCTCCCTCTGGAGCTAGTCGCTCTCCAGAGGCCCCCTTCACCCCCACTCTGTGTGCAGTGGGTGACCGCCTCCTATAACCGTACGAGGGGGCCCTGAAGCCTGGGAGAGGGCAGCCGGCTCATCACTGGGTTGCTTCTCCCCGTGTAAGCCGAGGAGGCCCAGAGACGTGGAGGAACTCTCTCAGGGGCACACAGCTGCCATCGGGCCCCACTCATTCCCCTTCATCCACCTGGGTCTCGCCGGGTGGCCCGCCCAGGACCCTTGCTTCCGTCACACACTATCCCCAGGGACACACACTCACCCTCGTAGATGGCCGCCAAGGCGTACCCCAGCACGAAGAGCCGGCCCTCTTTGCCCAGCATCTTGGGCACTAACAGGAGGCTGGCACAGCGGATGTGAGGGGAGGTCCCCCAGCCCACAGCTCCCAAGCCTGTCAGGAGAGACCAGCAGGTGGCAAGGGGGAGTGAGGGTGCGGGCTGACCCACCAGGCTGAGCACGGCACCCGCCCCCCAGGTTCTTTCCAGAGCCTTCTTGACACTGGGCACTGGCTCTGATCGCCCTTGGAGGCCGCTCAGTCATGTGAACAGCCCTTTCCCAAGCTCAGTTGCACGGCGGCTCGGGAGGGGCGTGGAGGGACACCAGAGGTCCAAGAGCCATGGCCAGTGACCGAGGGTGGAGTGTGTGTGTGTGTGTGTGTGTGTGGGAAGGGGACTCTTCCCTCTTCGGTATGCTGGATTCACACACTACCCAGGTGCTGAGGGGGCAGGGAGTGCCAGAGAAAGTTCTGGAAACCGTCACTCGTGCTCACAGCTGTCTCCCTGTTCCCGTGCTCTGACCCCATCCCAATCACTATCTCCGTCTCTAATTTTGGCCTTAATCATGGACCTCCTGGTGGTGTTAACAGCTTCACAGGTGTCTCCCTGTGGTCCCCGCAAGGAGACAGAGAGCTCCATGGAGCTCAGAATTCAGGGAGAGAGACAGCGAGTTAACAGATGACTACGGCCCCGAGTGCTAAGTGTGCAAGGGAGGTGCTTCTCCAGGGCTGCGGGGGCACGGCAGGAGCCGGCGTTTCTGTGGGGAGTGTGGGCCTGGGAAGGCCGGACACAGCAGCTGACAGGTCAGCTAGGGCTGGAAGACGAGTGACGTGTAGTTAGGAGGCAGGACAGCGTTCCAGGCCAGAGGGACAGCAGAGCTGGGCAGGGAACCCAGTGGCTTCCTGTGGGATGGAGCGCTGGCCATCGTCGGAGCCAAGTCCCCCACTTCTTCCCTCCGTCTCCCCAGCCCCTGTGGGGTCCCCGTCACCTTTCGCAGGGCCTAACCGATCCCCTGCCTCCCCTCTGTATTTGGGTTTTCACAAGGTGGCCAGAGTGGTCTTGTACACACGGCCTCTGACCTTGTCCCTTCTCTGCTTCAAACCAGCTATGGACTTTCCACCAGAGGTGGGGTCCAGTCCGAGCTCCCTTAGCGGGATCCACAGACCACCTTGATGGGGCCCCTGCCAGCTTAGGGCTGCTCAGCCCATGGCCTGCCCGTCCACCGCCCCCGCCCCAGGCCTTGGGCCAGCCCTAGAACAGGCCAAGGTCATCCTGCCTCTGCCCAAAGTGCGGCTCCTCACCTGGCTGGCCTCACCTGGTCACACAGGTTTGCTGGGAGCCCTGTCTGCGGCCGCCCGCCTGAGTGTCTGCCCTCTTCCTGGCTAACACAACTTGAGTTTCCTTCAAGGCCAGCCACCTGTCCCTGCCCCAGCCCCTGGGGGGAAATCGGGATCTCCTCACCAATCACGGGATAATAGGACATCAAAAGGGGTTTGTTTCCGTGGTCTTGGCCTTCTGGCCAAGGATTCAAGCTAAGGGAGTTGGCAAGTCGTTGCCCTGGTTCTACAGAGAGCTCCAGGGGTCTGCAGGAGCCCTCTCTGGGCTCACCAGCAGGGCGAAACTCATCTCTGGCCCTCTACCAACCAGTATATACAAAGACAAGGCCAGAAATTAGAATTTTCTAGGACGCCTTGGGGGCTCAGTTGGATAAGCAACCTCCTTTGGCTCAGGTCATGGTCCTGGAGTTCCAGGATCGAGTCCCGCATCTGGCTCCCTGTTCAGCGAGGAGTCCGCTTCTCCCTCTGACCCTCCCCCTTCTCGTTCTCTCTCTCTCTCAAATAAATCAATTTAAAAAAAAAAACAGAACAAAAAGAAATCAGTATTTTCTAGAAGAGAAGTTGGAGTAGGCAGACATAGCGGGGGGGTGGTCTGAGGAGAGGATGGGGATTCACTTCCAGGCCGAGTGAGAGCCTCACGGGACCCCAGAGAGACGGGGCGGAGGGGAAGGTGGCTCCCCTGCGTGGCCATGTGAGCCCAGCGTGGAAGGTGAGGCCGGGTCGGCACTGGCAGTGCCTCTGGGGAGGGTGGGGGACGTGCCCCGGGAGCCTTACTTGCTTCTCAACCTGGCAGGGGAGGGGGCAGCGGCAAGGTGCCTGCTTTCCTACTTGGGCAGGGCAAGGATGGAGGGCTTTCTCGGGGACGAGTGGGCCTTTTGGAGGGCAGCAGGCCTCCCGCCATCAGGGAGCTCCTCCCCTCCAAGGGCAGCCCGTTTGTAGGCGGCGGAAGCTAGGTGAGGCCAGCCGGACAGAACTACTTTCAGCAGGAGGCTGGACCTCGGAGGGCCTCACAGAGCTCCTGGAGACACCATGGAAGGGCCGAGGCCCCGGGTGGGATGGCTTGCCACCCAGAGGCAGTGGGGCTCTCCCAGTACCAACTTCAGGCTTCCGGCCCTCTCCCTCTAATTCCTTCTGACAGCAGAAGAACCAGAAGGGGAAGGAAGCAGGGAAAGGAGGACAGGGCGGCTGTGCCCCCTTCACTGGGGAACCCCCCAACCCCCAGCAGTTGGGGGCCTGGAGGCAAGGGCGCTGGGAGGGAAGGCGCTGGAGAGGGCATCGAGGTGGGATTTGGGTATAGCCTGGGTTGGACTTTTCCAACCCTAGAAACAGTCGTACTCGCGGAAGGAGGACAGGATCTTGTATTGAAAATAGGCAGCAAGTGAAGGGTCGGTGGGAGAGGTCCTTCCTGGGGGCCCGGTGTGGTCCTGTGGCTGCCCACACAGGTCGGTTTCCGGGGTGAGCGGGCGAGGGCCCTACCGGGCAGCCTGGGACAGGCAGCACGGGGAAGCTGGCTGGGGGGACGGGAACATTTTCCTCCTTCTTAAAGGAGACATAAAGAAGGAATGTTCTGGTCTTCCAGCATCGATGGATGAAGATGAGATGCCTGGACTTGAGGCCGCCCCTGCGTGACCTGAAGACGAGCGGCCACCAGGCCAAACAGGGAGGGAAACTGGGTCCTTGGGGATGGACTGAGGGGCTGAATTATCCAAAGTCCAAAGACTGCTCGGCCTTGAGAGTGGTTGTTGCGGGAGACAACCGGCTTTCTCTGTGGCTAATCCACCTGCACAAGGTCCCCACCCCAGTGTCGCCTCCAAGAAGCCTTCCCTGACTACCAGCCCCTTCCCCACGGCGCAGCTTCCTCTCATCATGCCTCCTCGTCATCATCAGAAATGCTCCTGCTCCCTTCTCGTCCTTCCTACCTCACTCTCTCCACTGGGGGCCCCTCGACCTTGGGCCCTTTAGAAGCTGCTAAGGGGGCCCCGAGAGGGCTGAATGAGCAAATGAAGGTGTGAATGAATGAATGAATGAACAGAATTAATTGGGAGGAGCAAGAAACAAGGTCATCGAGGTTGGGAGCCATGGGGCATCCTGTGGGGAACATGGAGTCCTTCCGGTTGGGAGGCTCCCTAGGGGACAAGGACCAGTCGGGTTTCTTCCATAGACTGGGGCCTCTTCTCCCTGGATCTCCCCTCAAAGCCCAAGAGGAGGCTGGGGCTGGAAGGGACACTCGGTGCACAAGAAACAAGATCAGATCTGTTCCTGGGCCAGGACTCCCCAGGCCTGCCCCACAGGCCTCTCGAGGGTCCCCGTCCTTAGCCAGCACTCACCCACCACGCCGTACAACGCCACCATCTTCTGACCCTCATAGATGTCCATGGGGTTCACCAGGAGCTGAAACAGACCTGAGGGTGCGGGGTCAAGCTGACTATCAGGAGGTGGGTCCCTGCCCCCCGGGCTCTGCCCACACTCACCCATGGCCAGGAGCCCTCCGGTGCTTGCGCCCAGCAGGAAGGCGGCAACGGGAAACGTGCGCGGCTGTCGCTGCAGGAAACGGCTGCAGGGGACAGGCAGCCCCCAGCTCAGGAGTTTCTGTACCGCTGGGGGTGGGGGTGGGAGCAAACACACTGGGACCAACAGCCCGCTCTTCTGGGTGGGATGCGCTTCATTGGGGTCAGGGGTCTACGGGGGGAGAGTCTGGGGGAGACCTGGGCGGGCGTGGTGGGAGCGGGGGGGGCATCCTGAAGTAGGATGGGGGACCCTGGGGAGGCAGGGCAGATGTGAGAGAGAGAAGAGGAAGGGGCTTGGCTGGAGGGGAGCACTGGGCGATAGCTGGAGACCCACAGTGGGGGGAGGCATGGGGGCCCAAGGGAACAGGGGATGAGACGCCCTGAGGTGTTAAGTGGTGCTGGGAAAGGACGGACTCACTGGTGTGGGGAAGCTTCCTTCTTTCTCCCTTTGCTCCATTCTGATGAAGTGTGATGGCCATGAGTCAGCTTGGGGGACCCTCCCCTGTCCCACAAACGTCCTCAAGGTGGCCTTGGGTGCAGAGATCCCCTTCTATCCCCTTTGCTGTCTGCGTAGCCGGGGTGAGGTCTGTGTCTTCTGCTCGCTCTGCTCTGAGACTTGGAGAAGGAGATTAGAGACCTGTGTCCCTGTCTCCAGTCCTGGAGCCGGTCAGGCTCTCCGAGACACAATACAAGCTTCCGGAACCTGAGAATGTGGCGAGGGATTCCAGGGCCCTGGAAAGGCCACAGAACCTGGAGGGCATCTCCTGGAGACAGGCCGGCATTGGGTCTCAGCAGTCATGCCCAGACTCGCGAAGGACCGTGTGCTCCCCTTGGGGACGGAGGAGCCAAGCGTGGCGCGGGCCGTGGTCCGCAGCTTGGGGGGGTTTAGCCTGGGCATGTCCCTGGCCACGGCCTATGGGCTCCTGCAGCTGCTAGTGGAAGGACGCGGCCCCTGGGGCTGCCTGGTGGGCACCCTCACTCTGGCTGCCTTCCTCAGCCTGGGCATGGGGTTCTCGCGCCAGGTCCGGGTCACAGTCCTCCTGCTGCTGCCCCAGGCCTTCTCCAGTGAGTGCGGGGTGGGGGGCGGAGGGGGGCAGGAGGGATCTTACAGGAGGGGGGGCGGTTTAAGGGAAATCTTCCGGAGGCTTCCGTGCGTGAAGCCGGGGCCCTGGGCCCATGGAGCCGTCTCCCCCAGGGCAGGGCCGGACGCTGCTGCTGGTGGCCGCCTTCGGGCTGGTGCTGCAGGGACCCTGCGCCAACACACTGCGTAACTTCACCCAAGCCAGCGAGGCCGTGGCCTGCGGGGCCGAGCTGGCCTTGAACCAGACCGCCCAGGCGTTGGAGCAGGCCAGGCAGCCCCTTGTCAGTAAGGCCCCCTGGGCCCGTGGCTGCGCGTTCTGTGGTCCCGCTCCGTCCCCTGCGGCTGCTGGACCCCTCCCCCCGGCTCCCTGGCCCGCTGCATCTCCCCACACCCTGAGGGACAGCCTCCTCTCCACTCTGCTCCCCCCCCCCCCCCCCCCCTTGCCCCGGGCAGAACCGGCCCCCCAGTGCCTCCACCCCTGCCCCCCCCAGGTGCCCTGAACAAGATTAAAGCCATTGCCCAGAAAGCCAAAGAGGTGGCCGACCGGGTCCGCAAGTTCTTCCGGTCCATCATGGACGGCGTGAAGCACGTGGGTCAGCACAGTCAGCATGGCTGGGGGTTTTAGAGGGTGGGGCTCAAAGTTCACCCTGTCTCCTCACCCGTGCCCACGTCGCGGCCCAGGGCCCCTCCTGGGTGCTGACCGGCCCCCGCCAGATACGGCGCAGCCAGGCCCCTGACCGCGGTCCCGCGCTGGGTGCTCCCCCGGGTCCCCAAGTCCCAGCCAAGGGGCCGTGGGGCTCCGGGCCTGGGGACCAGCCCCACCGCTGTCCCCAGCTAGGGTCCTGCGCAACGTGTGGTACTGGCTCCTGCACATCGGCGACGTGTGCAACGCCGAGCTGGGCAACCCCTACCTCAAGTGTGCGCGGGTCTTCGACGACGCCAAGGACCACTGCATGCACGTCGTCCCCTGGGCCTACCACCTGTGCTACGTGCTCATGCCCTTCAAGCTCGCGCTGTGCGGACTGGCCAGTGGTGAGGGCCGGCGAGCGCCTGCGGGGCAGGGCCAGTGAGTAGGGCGTCCGTTGGCGGGGCTGGGCCCGCGCTGGGGCCGCTGGAGGCCCTGGGGGCGCTGGGAGAAGCCGGTTTGGAGCCGGTGCGGAGGTCAGCAGCAAGAGCGAGAGGCCAGAGGACCCGGAGGCGGCGGGAGAGCCGTGTGCCTCCGCCTCCCCTGACGCTCGGTCTCTGGGTCCCAGTGGTGCAGGTGTTCTGCGTTATCCCCAAGTACATCCAGCCCTTCTTGCGCAAGACCCTTGGCACCCGTGAGTGGCCCCCTCCCAGCCCTGCTGGGGGGGTGCTCCTGGGGACTCTCCCCTCTCCAGGCCAGCCGTGCTCCCAGTCCCCAGTGAGAATGCAGGAAGGAGGAAAGGTGCCAGGAAGGGATGCGGGGAAGTGGGAGGCCCAGCCGGGGGGAGGCGTCTGAGCCAACACTGGGCTCGAGCAGGGAGAGGACCAGGGCTTCCTGCTCCCCCCTCCCCGGTCCTCCCAGCCCAGGACAGGGCACTGAGATGGGCGGTCACAGAGAGGGGCCGTGGTGTCAGGCCCCTGGTGGTGACAGCATGGACCGCGGGGGCTTCTCCTCTCCTCCTTGGGGTGGGGGGATCCCGGCTGGTCTGCAAGTGTGCCAGGCCCTGCCCCCACTAACTCTCCTGGCTTCCGGCTCCCTGCACCTGCTGGCCCCAGCTGTGAGGAACCTAATTAACCGGGTGCGTCAGGAGTTCGAGTTCAATGTGACGGCCGCCCACCACTTCTCCGTGGACCTCAACGCCTCTCGGAGCCTGTCCCAGGTGGCCCTGGACCTCCACGAGGCCGTCAGCCTGAAGCTGCACCGTGTCCGAGAGGCCCTGGCCCTGATGGGCTACACCACGCCTCTGCTGCTTTCAGTCCTCTACCTCCAGTGAGGGGGCCGGCTGGGGGCTTGGGCTGCGAGGCGCCAGGTCGCCTCCACGGCCTCCGGGGAGGCTGGAGCCTGGGGGCGGAGGGACGTGGGATGGGTGTAGGCTGGGGAGCTGAGGGGCCTCCCATTTACCCGCCAGAGCTCTGTTCTACCGGTACTGTTACTTGAACTGGGTCAGTTATGACAACGTGTACATCACCAGCCGGTTCCTACGCGTGGAGGCCATCCGCTCTGAGGCGGGGCTGCCCACGGTGCTGCCCCTCAGCGCCTATGAAGCCAGACGCTATATCCAGCCTGGTGAGGGCCCCAAGATTGGAGACCGAGACCCAGGGGGACACCAGGGCCTCCCCTTCACCCCAGCCCTGACCCTGGGCTCTGTGCATAGCCCTGTCTCTGGGGAGCCCTCGGTCCCAAAGGGGGAAGGAGGATGCCTCCCGGCACCCAGACACCCAGACATAGAGAGAAGGGCAGAGGAAGCTTCCGGGGGCCCTGGACATCCCGACAGAGGGAAGTGTAGGTGGGGAGGGGCTGCTAGCTAAGGGAAGGGGGGCTTTGGGGGTGAGGCCGGAAGTATGAACCTGCCAATATGGAGAGGAAGCCTGGGGGGCTGGGGCTGGGTTGCCCAGGAGGGAGGGTTCCTCTAGCCTCAGAGCCCCTCCCACCCTCGTCCGGGGACCATCCCAGCTTCCACACCAGATGGGCAAACAGGCCCTGGCTCGGAATGGGGCGCACTCTGCCGGGAGACTAGGCAGTGGCCTCCTGACAGCCCTCCCTGCAGGTTCCATCTTCCTGTCCGGGTGGGAGCAGATGTTCTACGCCCTGGCCATCCTCAGCCTCGCCCGGCACCTCCTCCTCGTGCTGGCCCTGGTCTTCCTGGACTACGCCGTCTTCTGGGTGCTCGACCTGGCCCGGTACCAGTTGCAGGGGGAGATCGTGGCCCGCAGTGAGTGCCCGGGCCTCCTGCTGTGGTCCCCTTGGTCGGCGTCCCCCGCAGCCTCCTGGGTCCCGGGGATTGCCTGGAGGTCCCTAGGTCACTGTCACTCATCAGCCCCGATCCTGCCACCGCCAGCCCTCCACTCCGCCTGGGACCCCTGCCTCTGCGTCCTGGGTCCACCAGACGGGGTAGTGGGAAGCACAGGACCTGGAGTCGGGGAGCCTGCCCCCTGCAGCGGTGACTCGGGCCGTCCCCGAACCCCCAGAGCTTCAGTCGTCTCTTCGGAGCTGGGATGCTGGGCGCAGCCCCCGGGTAGCTTGAAGGGGCCCAGGACGCCCTGTGTGGGAGGGCCGGGCAGGCTGTGGTGATGAACACGCGGGGGCCACAGGGGGTCATGACTCTCATCCCGTGCGCAGAGGCCGGTGGCAGTTAGAAAGCGCCCAACGCAGTCACCGGCGCACTCAGCCCAGCGCCCGCCACCACTGGACACGCGGCACATTAGCAAGTGCTTGAAAGCGAACGCTTCTGGGCCGTTGCGGGGACGGGGGACGGGGGACGGACTCATGGAGCATCGAGGCCTCTCAAAGAGGCTCCTGGGGGCCAGGGGCTTGGTGGGGCCCTGGGGCAGCAGAGGCCCCTGGCTGGGGGGTGGGGCCACGAGCCGCCCTGTCCCACCACCCGCCCCCCGGCACCGGCCCTCACAGAGTGTGCTGTGCCAGGCCCCGTGCTAGTGTCCATAACCGTGGAAGGCACTGGCTACACTGGGAGGATTTACCGGGACCTGGTGTCGGCGTTCGACGTCTTGCAGCAAAGCAACATCAGCATCTTGTCCCGGCACTGCCTTCTGAGGCCCTCGGAGCCAGATGCCACCGGGTACATCGTCATCGGTACCGACCTTGGCCGTGAGGGCACGGGGTGGGGAGGGAACAGGCGTGGCAGAGGGCGTGAGGGCCGGGGGGACCGGTGGCCCACACCCGCAGATGTGGCTCTTGGCCCTGCTGCCCCCCAGGCATTCTGTACGGCCTGAGTTTCTTCGTCACGCTGTTCGGCAACTACGTCAGCAGGCTGCGGCGGGCCATCTGCGCCTCCTACTATCCCTCGCGGGAGCAGGTGAGCAGCCATGGCCACGGACGCTGCCCCCCTGCCCGCTGGGAGCCCGCGGCCATCTGTCTTGGTTTTGGGGAGCTTCGACTCCTCGATGGCGCCGGTCCTCTCTCCTCTGGCTGAAGTCCCGCTAAGCACATGACCTGGATGGCGGGTCTCCAGGCCCCAGGGGTGCTGAGAGCAGGGGTGCCTCTTGGGGGGCGTTGGCTGAGAAGGAGCTTGTCGTCCCCAGAGTGTGGTGAAGGGCATGGCGGCCGGGGTCCGCGCTGGCATGTTGAGGCGTGAGTGGAAACCCAGCGGTTGGGTGCTCGCTCGCCAATCAGTCCCGGAGCTGTGGCGGAGCCCTCCCCACTCCGTGCCAGGATGAAGCCGACCCCGCCCAGAGCTCACGGTCTCAAGGCCAGAC